TTAATTTTTTTTGCAACTAGGCAGGATCGCAAGTGAGTACAAGGCTATAACAATACAGTACTGTGCTATTACTGGAGATTTTAAATCAAATAACTTGAAAATATTTCAACTTTTATATAGCCTGTGCAAAACAGGCTAACATTAAATAACAATGCAACATTTTCTGTTACAAGAAAGGATTTTAATACAAGTATTACATGAACAGACATAAAAAAAGTTTATTTTACATATTTTGGAAGGCTAAACGTGCATGTTTACCCATTCAAAACATGTAAGGTCAACCTGCTTATGTCTCTTTACATATTACTTGTATCAAAATAATTTGTTGTAACAGAAAATGTTGCATGGTTATTTAATTTTATAACATGGAGATATTTTTTACTACACAATACCTTACTTCTAAAACTTCAACTGTCATGTTTGTAATGTACAACATACATATCTCACAGTTATTCCATGTTATAACATTGAATAACTGTGAGATACCTTACTTCTAAACTTTAACTGTCATGTTTGTAATGTACAACATACATATCTCACAGTTATTCAATGTTATAACATGGAGATATTTTGTACTACACAATACCTTACTTCTAAACTTTAACTGTCATGTTTGTAATGTACAACATACATATCTCACAGTTATTCAATGTTATAACATGGAGATATTTTGTACTACACAATACCTTACTTCTAAACTTTAACTGTCATGTTTGTAATGTACAACATACATATCTCACAGTTATTCAATGTTATAACATGGAGATATTTTGTACTACACAATACCTTACTTCTAAACTTTAACTGTCATATTTCTAATGTACAACATACATATCGCAGTCTGTTTCTAAGAACAGTTATTATTTATCATTTGGTAATGTGGAGACGAGCAATGCTTCTAGGACTAACCTTAAACTCCCTATCACACATTTTCAGAATCTCACATTGCTAATACTTACTGATAAACCATTTAACTTTATCAGAGGTGGATCTTTAAATAACTTAATTTATTAACTTGAACTAGCTGTAAATCTAGAGGATTGTAATGTTTAAGAGACAGCTTCCTATTCTCAGTGTTTATTAGTATATATATATATATCAGTGTGTTTTTGCATGATCAAATGTTTTATAATCAGTGACAGAACTTGTAGTATAAGGGCTGCTATGATAAAATAAAATAACTTTGTTTGTTTAAATGCAAAGCTGTTGAGCTATGTGCACTGTGCCCACTACAGAGATTAAACTCCAAAATTTTAATGCCTTAAGTTCCCAGGAGAAGCTACAACAGAAATAAGTCATTCTCATTTTTTATGACTGCTACTATTATCTTACTGCAGAATTTTGTATATTACAGAAAATAGGCAAGGATACCTTATCCATTGCACTGTTAGGGGCAGGTAGCAGTTAAACCCTTGCATTAGTGATGACGAGCATGGTGACCAGAGCATCTGCTGTTTTAAGTATATAATTTAATTTGCAAAGTTAACTTTTTAGAATAACTTATACCAAAAAAATTTATATGCCCACACATTTTTCTGCCTTTTTTTTTTTACAATTCAAATCAGCCTGGAATAGATCTTGAGAGTTACTTGTCTACACACTTAAGACTGGTTAACATCAGAAGCTCTGTTTCAAATATTCAACCTTGCTCCACATTTTCTTGGCTCTAGCTGTTATTGTTGTTTATTTGTAACGTTACAACCCCATTTAAACATTTTTCAAGGTAACTATAAAAAGCTGAGAATTTTATATGTTTGCTTTTTCCACTGTTTGTTTACTCACCAGAAACACTTTACCAATTGTTTTTTAGTCGGCTAATGTTTTTAAAATAAAATTATTAATGTATATTTCATAAAAATATCACTTTTTTTGTACATTTTCCCTTTATGTTTTGATACAATGAATGTGTTCTTTTTCAAATAAACCTCAAACTACAACAATGTCATTTGATGTAGGCTTTAATGCCCAGTGAGGTATTATAAAGGTTAAACAAAAAAATTTATCATACAATCTGGAAATCTTGAGATGTATCATAAAATTTTCTGAAAAATTTATCAGTACTAAAACACTAGCTTATTATACTTACACTACATTTTGTGAGGTCTAATCTTGTGGCTCCTTCTTCCTTACAGCGACTGAATTCTTTTGATACATCCTATAATAATTAAATTTATATAGTTCATAAAAACAAACAATAAACACCTTCATAATAATCCTGAAAATAAACCTATTCACAGCACCTTACTGCAACTAAATAATATTATCATAAATATTAACTTCCACAGAGTTGTACTGCATGATATACAAGACTAATTTATTAGATCTAAGTAAAGAAAATTCAAAACAAACAAAAGACAGAATGGTAGAAAATTTGTGAAAACAGACAAACGGTTTCACAATAATTTGAAACCAAACAGGTAACCCAAACACCAAACAGGCAACCCAACACCAAACAGATAACCCAAACACCAAAGAGGCAACCCAAACACCAAAGAGACAACTCAAACACCAAACAGGTAACTCAAACACCAAACAGGTAACCCAAACACCAAACAGGTCACCCAAACACCAAACAGGTCACACAAACACCAAACAGGTAACCCAAACACCAAAGAGGCAACCCAAACACCAAAGAGGCAACCCAAACACCAAACAGGTAACCCAAACACCAAACAAGTAACCCAAACACCAAAGAGGCAACCCAAACACCAAACAGGTAACCCAAACACCAAACAGGTAACTCAAACACCAAAGAGGCAACCCAAACACCAAGCAGGTAACTCAAACACCAAACAGGTAACCCAAACACCAAACAGGTAACCCAAACACCAAACAGGTAACCCAAACACCAAACAGGTAACCCAAACACCAAACAGGTAACCCAAACACCAAACAGGTAATCCAAACACCAAACAGGTAACTCAAACACCAAACAAGTAACCCAAACACCAAACAGGTAACCAAACACGAAACAGAGTATGCTGCCAATGGCTTTAAATCTAGAGATGTGACAAAAAGAAAAGTAATCAAAAACTACAGCATTACTATAACATGTGAACAAACATGACAAAACACCAGAAACAAAGAAAACTTCAATACTTATAAGACTGTTCATGTTTGATTTCAGATTAGTGCTATCGAGATGGGTTCTAGTCAGTGGAATGATATTCTAAATCAGTCTGTTCCTAATCTACCACACCTTTAAATAACATAGAATTTGTCTATAATACTGAACAGTGTGAAACTGTAAATTTCTCAGAGTTTTCAATTTTCAAATACATTTAAAAACATGAATAAGTATTCAAAAATTTAGTTATTTTTAAAATATAGAAATCTTTAAAACCCCTGAAACGATAAAAAGATACCCATACTGTTTATCATGTGAATATGTCTGTACTAGCTGCAGAAATAATTTGCTGCTTATCACCAGAATACATTATGTTATCGGTTATAATCAAATAAAAAAATAATTCAGATGTATAATTTTAAACCAAACAGTTTTAAAAACACTTCTATTTTTCTTCTTAAGAATAAAATCTAGCAATATTCCAAATTATAAACAATGACATTTGGGATGAAAAATATTTGCCTAAACATGATACACAAAATAATATGGACCTTATTTTTGTTGGTCCTTTATTTTATTACTAATATTATTATTATTTTAATAAGATACATTAGATCTTTTGATATGAGCTTAGGTGTTAGATTTAATTTAAAAAACTGGTCCCAGCAAAGAAATGAGTTATCTTGTTCAGTCTTAGGTTTAACTTCTTCAAAAACTTCAAATATTTCACGGGACAGTGTGTTGTTCCGGAACACAGTCAATTAAGCTAAGGAATAATTTGACTGTAAGTGGTTTTGTGTAATTAAAATTCAGGCAAGTTTAATGAGAATTAACAGTTCCACTCTGAAGTTATATTGTGAAAAAATAAAGGAAAAATTAATAATAAGGTAATTCATCAGAAACATTTTGCTACAAGAATTAGATTAAAGACAAGCTAATCAGTTATTAGACATTCTTGTATTATTTATACCATTTATAATCCCATTTACTGTTAAGGGATCATTTTATAAACACTGTGTGATCTTGCATCATAATGAAACTCAGTAAGCTTAGTATCTACGTAAAATAAATATTATTTTCAACGATATAAATACAAGTTTATTAATCAATGAAAACAATAAATCATAAAATTACCATAAAGGTATGATTATGTTGTTTATTGAAATGTCTGGATCATATATATATATATATATATATATATTGAAAATGTCTAACTAAATCTGTTATTATTATTATTAGCTTATTATTAC